AGAAGAAGAAGAAGAAGAAGAAGAAGAAGAAGAAGAAGAATTATTTATTGGTCAAGTGTGATTGGACACACAAGGAATTAATCTTCAGTACATAAGCTCTCAGTGTACATAAAATACATTCATCATGAATAATAAGATACAACGCAGTGATAGTCATAGAATACTAAATAAGCAATCAAAATCATACTAGTAAAATAAATAAAACAATATAAATTGTAAAGATACAAGCAACAAGGTTATAGTCACAAATAGAAGGAGATAGGTAACAGGAACGATGAGAAGAATAACAGTAATACAGTCTCAGTAAATAGTTTGACTGTTGTGGGAATTAGTTGTTTAGCAGTGATGACATGCGGGGAAAATGTCCTTGTATCTAGTTGTTCTGGTGTCCAATGCTCTATAATGTGGTTTTGAGGGTAGAAGTTGAAACAATTTACAGGTGAAACTCAAAAAATTAGAATATCGTGCAAAAGTTCATTTATTTCAGTAATGCAACTTAAAAGGTGAACCTAATATATGAGATAGACTCATGATGTGTCATAACTGAGATGATTATGGCTTACAGCTAATGAAAATCCCAAATCCACAATCTCAGAAAATTAAAATATGAAAAGGTTCAATATTCTAGGCTCAAAGTGTCACACTCTAATCAGCTACTTAAGCCATAACACCTGCAAAGGGTTCCTGAGCCTTTAAATGGTCTCTCAGTCTGGTTCAGTCAGAATCACAATCATGGGAAAGACTGCTGAGCTGACAGTTATGCAGAAAACCATCATTGACACCCTCCATAAGGAGGGAAAGCCTCAAAAGGTAATTGCAAAAGAAGTTGGATGTTCCCAAAGTGCTGTATCAAAGCACATTAATAGAAAGTTATGTGGAAGGGAAAAGTGTGGAAGAAAAAGGTGCACAAGCAACAGGGATGACTGCAGCCTGGAAAGGATTGTCAGGAAAAGGCCATTCCAAAGTGTTGGGAGACTTTCAGAAGGAGTGGACTGAGGCTGGAGTCAGTGCATCAAGAGCCACCACATACAGACGGATCCTGGACATGGGCTTCAAATGTTGTATTCCTCTATACTCCTTGGGTAAGGTGTAATGACTAAGTCTGTATTATGTATCCAGTTGTTCATAACTTATATGTGCAAGTTAAGAAATCTGCAAATATTGCTACATATATAATCTGATTCCCCACCCATAGCCAAACCCAAAGCATGGAGGGAGACATGTCATTTTGGAGTTGTCTATTAAAGTGAGTTAGTAGCCACATTCTCTGCCTGACTTGGTCTCCTGTGAACACTATGAATAGGTTAGGCATGATTTAAATTGGAACCTACCAACGTAGGGAGGGTCATTTTTTGTTCATCTAAAGTTATTTTGTAATGTAAGATTTGCTGTTTTTTTAAAGGTGAAGAACATTTGCTATTAAAAACTCCTCAAAACGCAGGAGCTGGCTTGCACTTTTTTTTTGTTGGCATAGTTTACCTAAGAGTTTGAGATCGTTCTGCAAAAAGAAAATGTAATTTTTTTAAAATAGTGTAACTAAAGCTAGTGCTCCACCTGGGGATATAAGATCAGTCCTTGCCTTATCTAAAGCTTTTGCACCCAATCTATGAAGGAGAAAAAAAATAAAATAAAAAGTAGCTTGTTTCTTATAGACATACAATATACAAGAGTTAGAAGGTGCTCGCCTAGAAACCAGGAGATATGTTCTAGTTCCAGGAGGTATGTTCGAGGCATGAAAAACTAGCTCAGTGACTTTGGCCCAGTCATATTTTTTTTCAGCCCAACCCACCTCATTTGAGTTGCTATTGTGGGAAAAATAGGAAAAGAAAGGAGTACTGGTATGTTTGCTACTTTGAAATGAAAATGTGGGATAAAATATGAAAAAAATGGGATAAAAATCTAAAAAAAATAAATAAATTCAGAATTTAGAGTAGACACACTGGTTGGTCATTAATCCATAGTTGCTCAAGAAACCCCAACTGGCTGGCGTATGTGATCATTCATGTTGATTCCAAGTTTTAACATTTTAAAATAAACTTTATTAAAGATTAAAAAGAAAAATATATACAGTGTATAAAATACCAAATTTTGTTACAAATGAAACCAATATACAAATACAAATATTCACATAAAACATATATATTCCTTATCAGCTAAGACGGTGTGATCATTTATTGAAAACAATTTTACTAATATTCATTTTCTATTTTTGGTATATGCTCTTAGTTTAACCATTTCATTTTTCAAATCCCTATCTTTTAATTTCCTGGTTTTTCTCCTTCATCCAATTGTACCAATCTTCTCAAACTGTAGTATATATTTTGAGTCTACCTTATCTCTTAAGTTTTTGTGTAGGTAGGTCCATTTCAGCACAGTCAAGAACTTTCTGAATTATCAAATTATTTGTTGGCATTTGGTCACCCTTCCAGCATTGTGCCAACACAATTCTTGCTGCCGTGATTATATGGAGAATCAAGTATTTCATTTCTTTTGCATAGTCCCCTTTTAACATTCCCAACAAAAATATTTCGGCCTGAAATTCTAGTTGTATATTTGTAATTTCTTTTATCCAAATTCTAATTTTTTTCCAGTACTTTTTACTTTTTGGGCAAAGCCACCAAGCATGAAAAAAGGTACCCCTCGTTTGCTTACATTTCCAACAAGTCAAATTTAAATTTGGGTACTGATTCCAAGTTTAATATACATGTTCTACTAAGCATATATTGTTTAGCCAATGGCAAAAAATGGCACTTTTAAGGTTTTCAGTTGAGAAAGTATATTACTGCACAGAAATCTGAGGAAGATGAAGGAAATTTATCTAGGATATGAATCATTCATGTTGATTCCAGGTTTAATAGCACTTGAATATCCCCTTCTGCTTGCAGTAGGGCTTACCAAGTGTGAACCAGTCCATTCATGAACACAAAGTGGATTATAGTATTGTGACTGTCTCACAATGACTGCACTGTCAGGCAAGTAAGCTTTCGTTGTTGTGTATTGGAGAATGGAAATCAAATGAAAGATCTCCGCAGCTTAATTTTAAAATGTTTTGTTCCAGTTTTCCACCAGTTCAAATGCTACAAATTCTTCAACTATGTAACTATTCAATAGTTAAATATTTCCAGATGATAAAACACAGAGGAATTTACAAAAGTAAAAATGTTAAATATTAACTAGTCATAGCGGTAAACAGCAAAAACTCCAAAAGAAAAAATAAATAAACCAAGATAGTTTTCAGCTACTTTATTTTGGGTGGTATTGTATTAGAACTGGATTAGAATTTATGATAATGAATGAAAATGTCTAAAAGAACTGCAATGGAGACAGAAAAAATTCCTCTTAGAATATTGCCTTAAGTTTAATCAACACAGTAAACATGAGTCCTGAACCTTAACCCTAACCTTAAAATAGATTTTCTGCCTGTCAAAACTGAAGAGAGATTTGTTGTTTTTTGTAAAACCAGCATTTCCACCCACAATTAAAAAGACTCTTCTAAAATAGGATTTAGGTTGCTTCCAAAGATCCATACTTTAGAATTTCTTGGAAAAATGGCTAATATTTACACTAATATGCATAACAATTTGCTTGCTGTTTTTTGTATTCTTATCAATATTAACACAGGAATTTCCCCCCCTCGCTCCCAAGAATTAAAAGGTTTGGTGAGCTTTCTGAGTGAGTCCTGAGGTCTGGAAGGAAGTGGGGAAAATAATAAGCAACATTTCAGAGATTATCTAGTGTGGGGTTTCCCAAAAGTGGTCTATTTTTAACCTCCAAGTGTTGATGGAATATCCAAAGTTGTTGCTGTTGTTATTATTCATAGTACTAGTATTCATAAAATCATGACCATATAATAAACGTTTGGGATTAATGAATAATCTGAAACTTCA